TATACAAAGCTTGACGTCAAAGAAAAAAAATATTTTCACTGATCTTTCTTTTTTTTCTCTCTCTTTCTCTCTCTCTTTTTCTCCATCTCATACAACTTTTTCTCCAATTAACATAGTACGAATACGAATAAATATAATACGAGTGAGAATTACATAGAAATACGAATCCAGACAGGCAAGACTTACCAGTGGTTAACCATCTTAGTATACTCGATGAAGTCTTGACACCTTAAAGGCTCAATCGGCGCTTTATCTTGATTCCCTTTTCAAGAATAAGTATACCCGCTCGGCTAGCTGTCGTAAATTCAATTCGAGTTATTCGCATAAGAACGAAATCGTGAATACGATCGTCGTTTTCGTGGTAGGTACCCATGAGATAAACAAACAACACTCGTCTGCTTAGATCGTCTTGAATCGGTTGAAAGAATAAAACCTAGCTTGGCGAATGAAATTGCGTGAACGCGATAAAGAAAAAGGGAAGAATGAGTGAACACAAGGGAGATAGATCGGGGGGGGGGAGAATGTTTGAACATCCACCGATTTACGAATGCACGAGGCGTGTTTCGTTCGGTGACAATGCTTAAGTGACTGCAACGAGCGCACGTGTTTCAAAGCGACGAGCACCGCAACAAACGAGAACCTCCCTAACTCGTATCCAAGTCACGTCTCATTTGCCGTATTCAACGACCTATCGATGGGGTATTCTGCGATACAGAAGAAGAAGAAAAAAAAAGAAATAAAGAAATAGAGTGAGAGGAGATTAAAACACAAAGTGGGGAGAAAAATAGCAGGTGCAACGTGATTCGTTCGAATCTAAACCGCGATACTGATTTTACTTATGAATTATTTTATTTCATTTGATATTGCGAAATATATTTATTTTTTTTTTTCTACGTAATATATAAGGTAGCTATATATTTTAAATAATTAAATTAACTTTTATATAAACGTTTTATAATAATTTATTTGAATAAATTAAAAATTATATCATACATATACACGTATATCTATGATAATTTTTTATCTTACTCAATAAAATATTGATAAATAATTATATTTATATTACATGATAACATATGAAAACGTTCGATGTAATACAAAATAAAAGTCAATCATTATAAAAATCTATTATAAATTTTATTGAAAAGAGAAAATGTGTTTCTAACGAAACAAAACTACAAATTCTGATCTTTCTCCTTAACATTCCAAGCAACGAAAAATTCATCGTCGTAGAAGAACCACCACCAAGAGGTCCCATCCGGAAGTACCGAAAACCGTGATCGGTCGTTCAAAGGGAACGCGCCGGCTACTGGTTTTCTGGTAGCCTTTTGCAAAAAGTCGAAAGGAAGAAAGAAGAGAGGGTGGAAGAGAAGAAGGTGAGGTGAAGTGAATTGGGGGAGAGCGGGGAGGGAGAGAACAACGTCATGTAGCTCTCTTCCAGGACATCGTACGTCAGTGGTTAGAGCCCGTGGGAACGAGAGGGTTGAGACACCTCTCAGGCTCGCGAGAGGGACGCGGCGCCGACCCCAAGTCGACCTGCAGGTAGACGAAGAAGAAATAGAGGAAGAAAAGGAACGAAGAAATAGGTGGAGGAAGAAGGAACGAAGAAAAGGCTTCGTGCGAAGACGAAAGGATACTTCTTTAGGGTTAAAAAGAAGGTAGAGAAGATAGAACTAAGAGGAGAAACAAGGAGGATGAGGGATTTTTAGATTTGCCGTACCGAAAGGAGTTCGAGAGAGATTTAGGATAGCGTGGGGTGCGAGAAGGAGAAAGATTCGAGTTCTATTAGGAAAGAAAACAAAGTTGGAGAAAGAGAGATGGATAAAACGAGGACTATTCTCTTAGGTGACACCGCCGAAATATGTCCGTCGGCATTCCTAGACGTTTTTTCGGCCTTTGTCGAGCGCGCCGTCACTATGTCATCGAGGCCGCTTCTTGGATACTATTGGCCCAATGATCATCTTACGATATTTCTTCGATAGCCACCGATCTACGCTTCTTCTTCTTCCTTTACGACTACATTAATTTTCAATCGATTATTTACTTGATTTTAACAATTCTACAACAATTGTACAATTGTGATAGAAATAAAATGGTTCAAGGATTGTTTCGGTATTGTTAACAAATTATAAAAATTCATATTATTTTGAAATGAACTAACGGTGACCACGTATAAGAAGGAACACAAGGATAAAGCTGATGACAAATGGCAGAAGCGAAGGTTGGCCAAGTAAAATTAATATTCATATTCACGGTTGGGCCATTTATTCCCTCGTTGCAATATCAATAATCTGACCCTAGTAGCTCGTACGAAGGGTAGGTAGGAAAGTTAGGGTAGGGGCATTCGTGGATCCCACGTGCTCGGTATTTAATTACCAGAAATCGAGGGGTGTGCACAAGTGCACGGCTCGCTTTTACCTCTTAAATAGTTTTATTCGTTCATCCCCGAATGGTATCGACGATTTCACGATTAACGATTTACGTTGGATCTATTGTAAACGTGTTTTTAAAAGCTCGTGGAAGAATTTTTTGATTATGAAAAATATTTGTTTTACCAGCTGTGAAATTGTCGAGTTTAAATCTAATATAGAATATTTTTCATTCGATCATCCTATATCTAAACACATTTTGACATTACGAATCTTAATGAATTATCACCGTTGTGTAATACGAGTCGATGGTCACGGTGATCGTTCTTCTTTCCCGGATGACTGCATATCACGTGGCCCTCACGTGGGCTTCCTGCTTGTACTTTTTCCGCGTCTAGCCAGCATATGCACGATTGCGTAACAAAACACACAAATCATACGCACAGCATAAGAAACTCAACAGACTGATTTATGCTCGCGGGGCAATGTTCTGTATCCATCTTGTAAGACACGAGCTAACCCATCGAACCACACAGAACAGGATGGATCTTCCTTTTTCTTTTTTCATTCATTCTTTCAAATATATTCTCATTTCCGGTCTTCGTACTTAAACGAATTAAAAAATGAATTATGAGACGAAAGAAAATGTTACTTATTTTTCTAAGAAACACTCATCGTCACAATATAAGTAAAACTTATTTACCCCGTTAAGCGTATACTACTAGTAAAATAGAAAAATCAATCTGCGATATTGTTTAAAATAATTATATATATTGTTTGTTTTATAAACAAATTAATTTCAATGACTTTAATGGGGTCATAAAGATTGTAGTTTATCAAGAATAGAATCCGGAATACGTTTTCTAAGTTAGTATTGCCATAGGAGCAAGGTATCGTTGAACAAAACTGAGCTTGGTAATTACAGGAGGTTGGAAAACGTTAGGTCGAGCGGTAAATCTTGAAGAATCTATCTCTTTCTCTCTCTCTCTTTCTCTGATTCCCTTTTACCTTTCTTCCTCTTGTTCCTCGTACATCTCTTGTTCTTTCCTTATCCGAACATCGAAGCCAGCTAACCCCTCCCAGACGGTTGAAGGATTTATTTTATTATTTGATAGATTTAATGCCGACTACTGTTTATCGGAATCCACGTAAATCAGAGGATCAAAAGGATGTTCTAACAAACTATATAGATATATATATATATATATTCTTTTTATTATAACTTAAATTAATACTTTGTCACGATCATTTTCCCTGTTCCAAATAAAGTCATGACAAATGACGCGTATCATTATTTTTTACTAATAAGACACGAAAACAACATAAATCTAACGTAAATGAATAAGCTCGGTGAAATGGGTTTAGCATGGAAAAAAAAGTCGGTGAATCATAAAAGGTCCTAATTCCTGATTTTCTTAAGAGTTCAATCAACAAACATATGTTTCACACGTGATTACACGCAAGTCGATCGGTCAACCACAGTACCGGATCGGTTCTGCTTCTCTCTCTCTCTTTCTCTTTCTCTGTCTAAGGTGACGATGTTAATTGCTCACTTTCTCATCTCGTTAATGTTACTTCCGTAACAGAAACCGCTTGTGATAATTTAAGAAACATAAGGGAACGGGAAGAACTTGTGTAAACGATGCATTCGACGGAAATCGTTCGACGATCGGCGCAGATGGCTGACTTATAAGCATCGAAGATGTTTTTTTTTTGTTCCTTTCTTTCTTTCTTTCTGTCTTTTTTTACTCTCATTTTCACTCATGCTATTTTTGACATTAATTAAAAGCTTATCCGGGTTCATGATCTTTAATTTATTTTCTTACACAATTAGTTTGTAAATAATTAAAAAAAAAAAAAAATAAATAAATAAAAATAGAAATGTGTTTACGTACCTGCTGCAACAAAAGTTTCTGCCAAAGTATCGATTGTCCACATCTTAATGATTAAAATATTAATATTATTTAATAAGTGAAATTAGAATTAGTACGATGATTAAACTTTTCAAAACTTTCGTATTATGGTGAAAATGAATACAGGAACGTTTAAAAGTAATATGTGATGAGTTTAGGAATTCGTTTTACGAAGACAATTATTATTATTGTGGTACTGACGAATTGTTTATTTGATCATCTGCCAAAGAAGACAGTTTGTCGTTTAAAAGCAATGGCCATGCTGCGCGAAGCGATCGAGGATGTAGGTATAAAAAAGAAACAAAATGGCGACAAATTCGGGTATAATAACTATATCTCTCGTGTTATTTTTTTGTTCTTTGTCTTCTTGGTGTTCATTTTCTTTTTTTTCATTGTGTTTTTCCTTCTTCTTATTATTATTATTATTATTATTTTTCTCGTTTAAATTCTCTCGCCGACTAAAAGATGTTCTCGGAATCTTCTCGTAGCGCCCAGCTTTTTATGATACAATAGTAATAGCAATATATAATATTATGGCAAGGTCATTGGTCAATAAATACTTTACTTAAATCGCTCGCATCTAAATTCGCCAAATAACACGCAGAATCGTACCAATTTATCATCCGATGATTTCTCTGACTCTCTCTCTCTCTCTCTCTTTCTCTCGTTCTCTCTCTCTCTCTCTCTCTCTTTTCCATTTTATCTATTATCACAATGACGATCTAAAATAAAATAAAAACATACGTGTAGATCGTTTTTTCTCTTTATTATTCGATAAAAGTAATCCTTCGTCCGCGATTATTTGGAAACTTTAGATTCGCAAAAATCAGGACAAACTCCCTCAAAAATGTGCGCTTAGAACAGATAAGCTTTCATTTTGTTCTTTTTTTATTTTTTTGTTCTTTTCTTTTCGTTTTTTTTTTTTTTTACTTTTCTTTGTTTTCCAACTATTTTGGTCCAACGGATAAAAAGGATTGAAAAAAGAGATATTTCACACTTGCAATTCCAAGTTGACGGAATTTGTCCTCTCGACGATCTAATTAACCTACACGCTATGTGAACTAGAGATTCCTTTTCAGCATCGAACAGCAGTCACTATGAAGGTAATAGTGCGCGCAATCGTTTTATCTCTAATACTATTTTGAGTTTACACTAATCGTAGATCCTTAAAAGATTTAGGTAACACTATGTACACTCCAATTTCCCCTTTTTTCCTTTTAATCTTTCTTGTGTTTTTTTTTTCTTTTCTTTTCTTTTCTTTTCTTTTTTTTTTATCATTCTGTTTCTCTCGACGTTCCTAACAAAAGTTCATCTCCTTATAATTTATTTAATCCTCCGTTTCGATCGATTAACAATAAAAAGCTCGTAGAGGAAATTCTTGTTTAAAGAACGAACGACGAGCTCAAATGGACTCCTCGTGTTGGAAAATCACGCAGTTCATCATCAGTTCGGTTCGCGAGACCTTCGTATGCTCGTTTCTAGAACCAGTAGAGATCTTTGGAATCCTGTACTTGCGACTCGAGACCTGAAACAAACAATAATGATTAATTAACTTTTTAATTCAGTACTATATAAAAAAGGTTTTCTTTTAATATAACCACTTGACATACAAATAAAATGCTTGTCGACGCGCTTATAGGTTACCATTTAATTTGGATTAATTGTGAACACTCATATACAAATCCAGAAACAGGGTTTTTTATTTTTAAATTTACATTGTTTTATGCGATTTTTTGAAAAAGAGGAATGCATCTTTAACATTCTAAATAACACAGCATTGATGCATGATTGAAACTGCTAATTTAATGGTATACTGAACGTTGTTCGCCAAAGACAGTTCTTGACGTCTCCGAGACGTCAAAGTCTACAATGGCACATGAAATGAATGACGTCTTTCAGACGTCATTGTATGTGAAGTGGATAATAAAATAACGTAAATATAAAAGATAATTATATTTATAAAAGAACGCAAATATGATTTTAATTAATCGTGTATCGAAATATCAAAGGTGCATTCAGAAAACAGACTGACATGGTTGTACCAGTCCGTTCGAATTATTTATCAGCCTGGCGCGTAATAAAAGAAGAGACAACGTTTTGACGGATGCGAGGGTGCAGAACTGGTGATGGCACCCGCTGAGCAACACGGACGGACAAACCGACGGACGAGAGAACGAACATAACCGAACGAACGGACACAGACGGACGAGTTTCGAGCGATGTCACGAGATCGACCAGTTAAGATCTCACGTGTTCCCTTAAGACGGACGCAAGCGGGACGCGCGCGCGACCGCATGCGTCCGAATTTATCTTCCGTACGATCTGGATATCCGAAAGGGTGACCCCGCAGATCTTCGTCCACTCTATGTCAACCTTTTTAAACGATCCTCTTCGATTCCAAATCGATAATGCTGCGTAATCGAGCGAATGTATCTCAACGAAGTATCATTTATGTGAACACGTCGATCGGGACTATTGATCTTTATCTCTGATCGTTGATTATCTTTTCTTATTTTATTGTTCGCTGAATTTTTTCGAAACAATTTTATTGATTTAAATCAATAGCCAGAAAGAAATTTTGAAAAATTCTTTTTATTTTTCAATACATTAGGTTCGTAACTGTTTATTTGGCTCAGCTATTTTCTATTATTTAATTATCGCACGTGTCTAATAATTGTAACTTGTAATTGCAACGCAATAACACTTAAGAAAATGAAGATTATGGATCTTCGATATTGGTGCTTTCATTAAATTGTCTAATGATAAAGTAACGTAACGTCGATATTCAAAAAAAAAAAAAAAAAACAAAGTACTGTGTTACATGGACCGATAACTCACAAGAGATTAAATTCACGTAAGGGTGGCACGTGTCAGCGCGTGGATATCTACCTGCTTCAAAGTCAGCAACGTGTGTGCTCGTCGCAAGAGTAGATTCGTACAAGTGGAAGCACAAAAGATTTGATCGTAGTAGATAGTCATATAGGTATCGTTTTGCTCTTGAACGGTGAAGCTAGAACGGCAAGTATTATTTGATGGAAAGTCACTGAGTTGGAAAATGATCGTAGAAGGTAGCGTGAGAAGGGAAACAGGTTTTCATGCTCACCCGCTTTTACGCGAAAACCTGACGCATGTAACACCGATCTCTCTCTCTCTCTCTCTTTCTCCTGTTTTTTTTTTTATTGACCATTCTATGTAACAATTAATCTCATCCATGACATGTTAGGAAAACTATTGGCTTTATAGTAACTTTCAAATTAGTTTTCTTCATTAAGTAAGTTTTTAGTTTTCTAAAATATAATAAAATTAAGAATACAATGATTCTTGATATTGAAGTAAATTACGTTTCCATTGCTAATGATGACTTGAAATCAAAATTGACCATCAATGATTTACTATGATCATTCCAGAATATATCAGAAATAAAAGGAACATTTTTCTAATATCCAGAATTATTGGCCATAACGATGAATATGATCATCGAAACTGTAATGGGAAATTGGGAGATCACGATCTATTGCTAATAACAGATAATCTTCTTCCCTTTCTTTTCTCTCCCTTTCACGAATATCGAAGGGTCGGCTGGCTTCTGCGGGTGACTCGACAAATACCGGCAATATCATCGACGTTATCCGACGCACCATTTACCAGCTAGTAGTACCTCGTCCATTTTGCCGAGGGTTTGTGAACGATCACGCGAATATGGTCGAAGCGTTTACCAACGTATGTGTGTATTTATACGTGTGTTTGTATTATATGCTTACATGTTCATGCGAAAAGAGTATAAATCGTTTCGCATGTATGACACTTATGGTAAACGTTATTTGGTGGCAACGCTATGGAATTAGAATTCTCTTTCTCTCTATCTCCCACGAAGATTAAACCTGAACGAGTTGGTGTTGTTCAGAATTTCTAATTAGGCGTCCTAATATTCGCCTATAATTTATAGTTTGACATTATGAATATTATGAGAAGTATGTGTGGGAAATATTTTCTATGATCAAAATTAGTTGAACGTATTTCAAAAGTATCCGCATACTTGGATTTATAATATTTATGAAACAATATATATCTACAAATTTATTGTCATCTAGTTGGGTGAAAAGATTTTTTAAATATGCAATAGTGATCAATAAATAGGGTGGATAAATGTTTGAAATAAAGATATAAAGGATATCCAAGATAACATACTTGTCTTTGAAAGCTTCAACTGTTGACTATAAAGTAACGGACGAACGCACCTGTTATGAACGTTTCAGTATTCAATATCACAATATCAAAGAGCAACTGTGAAATGTTGTAGAAGGGAGAAGAGTTCAGAGAGTAAGAGGAAAAGTGGGGAGGAGAGACCTTTCGTAGGAAGTCTAAGGAAACTGGGAGACAAATGTTACTCTTCGAGCATCAAGAATTTCACCGGAGTTTGCCTCAACGGTATAATTATGTTGACGTTGTTGTTTTACTTTGATCATTACAATATATTTTCGTCTCTAAATAATATAATTATTAAAAATAGATATTTTATCTTAGAATATATAAATATATATTTAAATAATAAGAAGAATAAAGATATAATTGTTTAAAAATATTATCAATAATTTATGCAAAAATTTAATCTCTCGACTGTAAGGGTGAACGACGTATTCATATTCAGTTATGTATACGAGTTGCAAACATTTTTTGAAGGGTTCTCTGATCTGATTATTAAATGTCATTAGAAATTTGTTTTCAATTTATATTGTTACTTATTCTTTTCAATTATCACTCTCTCCTTTTCTTAATTTTGAAAAAAAAACGAATCTTCATATCGGCCGAGTTTAAAGGAGGGTGTAACTTCACAAGTTTCAGGTTGAAGAACACGAATCGAGCGTAGTGATTAAATTAAAACGAACACCCTCGAGTTTGAAAACCGAAGATTCACCCCCTGCCGATCGAACCAACCCTCTTTTAAGGGATGCATACGAAAAGCATTGTGATGACCCGTATCAATGGGGGTCAGAACCCTTCGGAGTTTGGAATCCAATATACTCGTGGTAAAGGAGACTCTCCCCACTTCAACACATCTACAACTTAGACCCTTTCCAAAACTCATATGCACCAACGTACGATTAATAATTAGGTATTAATCAACAATATTGAAATGATCATCGTAAGCACCACAAAACAGAAATTATCTTGTTTTTCTTTCTATTTTTCTATCTTCTTGATAATGTTCCCTGGCACGCGTGATGTTTTGAACAAAAAAGAAGAAAGCCATTTTATTCATTGTTCTCTATTAAAATTAGTTTAGGGAATCACGAAGTCATTGAGAATGAAAAGGAAACAGCATGTGTGCGTATTCGCGAATGCAATAGGAACCCGTAGGAGAACCGAAACATTCCGATGCTCTCGTGGAATGTTAGATGAACCCTTTCCATAACGGGATGCTGAGTGGGATCGTCTAAATATGGCTAACTCGCTGTAACATGCTCGTAATACACATCTAATAAATAAGTTCTCTCACAAAGAACTAGTAAGTGTCTCTCTATAAAATTATCTAACTATGAAAAACAAATATTTTTATATCGTATCATTAAAAATGTCACGTGATAAATCAAATGATTATTGAATGAAACTATTTGAAATGCGATGCAGTCGTTGTCAAGCACGCTGATGATGATGACGATGATGATAATGATGATCATCATTGGAAATGGCACATATCAAAAGTTTTGCAAATTTGACATTAGATCTGTTGTTTTTCATGTAAATTCTTAAAAAAAAAAAAAATGATATTTTAAAATTAATTTTAAAAAAAGAGAAGAAAAAAACCCCAAAAAAGGAAGAGGGGGGGGGAGAAAAATAAGAAACGAAAGGCGTTCGCCGATCTGGCAAAACTCTCGGTTCGCCGGTCTGTCTCACATCGAAGGAGAGGAAAGCAGAGTTCGAGAGATCGATATAGCCGGTGAGTCGACCACTCCCTCCATTCGACAAACTGACCAATCGAGGCTCACTGGCCATCCCCGTGCTGACTCCCGGCAGCCGAGTGCTGCGACGGTGTCTCTCTTTTACGTTCTCTCTTCTCTACCTCTTTTACTGGCTACCAACACGGTTATATGCGAACTGTGGATTACGTGACGTCAGTGTGCGACGCCATTTTCGAGGCGCGTGCCAGAAAGCCTCCGGAGTAACGTTGCACCCGCCAACTGAATACTTCCCATAAAATCTCCCGCGTCTTCAACGTCTAGTTGAGTATCATCTTCTACGATCGAGAGCCGATCATCGATCGTTCTAATTTAACCGATGGATTCCATTGAAGTTGACTACATATTTTAGAAAAATCAATTATTTCGTTATAACTTTTGAAGATTTTCATGGGGAAACAAAAAACCCATATCATATATTTTTATAACAAATTAAGAACAAATCTAAAATGAAGAATACTTTGAATGAAAATTTATAATTTCAGTAATTTATTTTTTTATCCCACGTGCAATTTATGGATAACTAAATATAATTCCTGTAGAAGGTATTCACACACAACTACCTTTTTAAATAAAATGTAAATGAGACTATTTTAAAAGCTACACGCGTGACGTTCCAATCGTTCGACAAGTAGAATAGAGATTCGAAAGAGGTTTTGGTTGGTAAGGAAAAAAAAACGTCGAAGGGTGGCTCGTTCGTCGACACCTTTACGTTCGTCGGATAAAAGAGAATCGGCACTTTTTCCTATCCTCCTGGAAGGACATCGAGTGGCGAGCTCGTCGCACGAAACTGTCGCAACGAAAAGCAATGCGATCACGAGAAAGAAGTCTTGCCCGCTTTTTCACCCGAACGAGCATTTCGTATATCGTAAGCGAGTATTCCTATCTTGGAATCTCGAAGGGGGCGGCGTCTCGGAGGACGCAGAGAATGAGAAGAAGGAGAAGAAGAATAAGAAGGGTGGGAGGGTAAGGAGGAAGATAAAATTCGGGCTTTGATTTAGAGACTCGTACCGACGCAAGGAGGCGGCGGCGGCGCCGGGCCGCTTACCGTGGCCGCATCGTACCGCTTTCGTGCTTGGAAGCAATACCTTTCTAAAACCCGGTTCCGGTCTTTCCTACTACTTGTTTGTCTGATATCGTGAAAATTATCGTGAATCTAAATGATCTATAATGTCGACTAAAGAAGACAAATTATACTGCAATACTATTGTTACCTGAACGAATATAAATTATCATGTAAATGAAAATTGTATGGATAATTTCGCGATTAAATAAAAATAACGTTAACTACTACGATTTTGGTTTATTTGTAACTAATCGTGTGGAGGGGGTTGATGGGGGTAAATACAATTTTGTTTCAATAACTTTCTATCAGCGTGCCGATAGAAACACGCGAAATGATAAATTATTCATTTACGTCAGTTCGAATTTGTCCTCCGATGAGGAGGACGAAATCGACGATCGTTGAGAAGTAGGGAGAAACTCGGGAGGGGTGGTGGTGGTTGTGGTGGTGGTGAGGGTGGATTGAGTGGGGATAGTGCCGACGACCAAGATGAGAAGAGAGTCAGTCGGCGTTCTCTCTGACTCTTCACAAACGTCAGCCGGTAATTGCGATTTATTTCTCTTAATAGCGCTTAAACGCCGACCAATTTATTCCGTTCGAGTTAATTTTACGCAATTATATAATTATCACGAAAGAAGAGAAAGAGAGAGAGAGAGAGAGGGAGACTAAGATCGAAAGAAAAAGATACGAGTACCAGATCGTGTATATACGTAACCTAATCGAGAAGACACAATCGCAAGATGTCGTAATGGTCGACACTTAAATTTAAAGACAACGCAACTTCTGATTAACCCTCCGACGGTCTCCTGTCATTTCGCCGATGTATACTCGTTAACGAGGGAAACTATCACTTCGATTGAGCATCGATTAAAATCTTTTGACCGATTCTTTTCGAATTCAAATCTGTTAATCATTTAGGTATTTAAAATAAGTCACAATAATATTAACTTTTACGAAATTAAATAATATTTTTATCGACCAGTAATTTTCGTAGGATCAATGTTAACGATTGTAATACATTGGATAATTAATTATCCTGATATAAGATAACAAAATAAAGATAATTAATTAAAGACAATTCTAAAGATCAAAGAAATGATCATTTATGCGTAGTATGAGAAAAAAAAAATTGTCGAATAAAGGAGAACACACACACACACATTTGGAAGAAACTTCTGTTTCAATTATCTGGAATCACATAAGACTGTAATTAATTCGAACATTACTGGGAAACTCGAGACCAATCGAGATCGCGCAAGATCGCGGATTCGTTTAGCAATTTCGTTACTTTCCCGCAACGATACGTTTTGCCACAACAAGTCCGTATTTATTTATTCATTAATTTCGAGAAGAGAAGTCGAGTTTGGGATTACTTGGAAGGAGGGAGCACAGAGAATGAGTTAGAGAGAGGTCTCTTACAGTAGCACACGCCAACTCGAAATGTTCGAATAGTGAACGTTGTCGGCATTCCGCTAAGCAAATTCTTGAAAACTCGTTTGGTCGGTCCGGCCGCTTGAACCAACTCTCAATCTACACCGTAAAAGCCAGGCACGTGTGTAAGAGCTAACCGTCTCCTAAATTGGCCCTAAGTCCCAACTTGTTCTCTCTCTCTCTTTCTTTCTCTTTCTCAAACGTAGAATACATACTTCAAACAAAACAATAGAATTTTGATCAATTTGTCATCGATGTTCAAACAAGATTCATTTATTTCATCACTTTACAACAAATTGCTGTTTATGTTGTACACCGGTATCATTAACAATAATGTTTAAATGTATGAACTCAAAAGAATGAAGTAAAATTTCTTCAGAGAGGGTTGAAGGCATGGCTGCCACGCGTTGAATCAGTGACATCTGGAGGGATGATAGCAGGGAACGGAGGTCTTTTATCGATTTTGAAGACTCCACCTCGCTAAACCTTACGATATCAAAATATTTGTATTTCATTTTCTCTTTCTATGTCTATAAATATGAACTTAATTATTTTTATTATTGACAAATGTAATTTTTAAAGTATCCGTCACAAATTCTCTCTATAATAAACAAATATTTGGATGATACTTTTCACGGCTGTAAAAAACAAAAAAATAAGAAGAAGAAAAAACAATTTAAAGTTAAAAGTGTAATGATTGACATTAAAAGATGTAACAAAAAAAAATCTATCCAAAAATAGGAATAAGTTTGTTAGAGGGAGACGAAAAGGACGAAACAGAAGGCGTGTATCCCGAATACCGGCGTGCAGACAGATGGGAGTGGTCTCCGCAATCACGATGGGCGTGGTGTTTTCACGGCATGTTGCAGCTGCACCCCGCAATGCAACCACGAATCGTGCAGTACATTTACATACAAACGTGCAAGCAAATTGTGCGAGAGCCTTCATCCAAGCTACGGCTTATTTAACGTGTTGGAGTGAGACCACCGTTCTTTCCATTCTTGTTTTTCTTACTTGACCCCACCTATTAAGTCTAACTTTAATTTACTACTCACTCCTTTGGATATCAATAAACCCGCACATCTAAATGCATTTTTGGTGTAACAACACTTTTCTACAACTTTCGTTCACACGCCTTGATGGATTGAAAAAAAAAAAAGGAAAAAAAGATTAAAAAAAGAAAGAATCAAGTTCTGCGAAACTGGTTACCTGAACATTTTTATGTCATTTATGAAATGAAGAGATACACTGCCGAGAGAAGCGGTTTTTCTTGATTTCGCGAGCTTCGTAAAACGATTGAAATTCTTTAACTTATTTTATGTACTTTTCTCTCTCTCTCTCTCTCTCTCTCTCTCTCTTTATCTTCAAGAGCAATCGTTTAAAGTAAGTGACCACAAGACGTTTCAAGACAGTTCAGACTTGTCTTGGTACACTTACAAACGGTGATATTAATAATTAGTAATGGAATTCTAACTACTTGAAGAACTTCAAAATATTTTAAATAAATTCATATATGTATTACCTGAAAATTTAATGAAAAGTATAAGATATGTCAAAATTATTTCAAATTAAAGAAAAATAAAATCAACGACAATATTTGGAATGTCCGAAAGAAACTTACTTTTTGTTCCGAAGAACAAATCGGTTTGTTTGCTAAGCCGATTAAAAACAAAAAAAAAACAAAGATAAAAATAAATAAAAAGGGAAAGATAAAGAGAAAGAAGAGGATATAGTCGTCGAGAGAAAGTTTAAATCGCGTATACTGCAAGACAGCATCCCGTTGAAGAGAAGCAGAAGGGATCGGAAGATGTAATCGCAAAGACGACCAAGAAGAGTGCCGCGTGTATCCTCTCTCGGAGAGCGTCGAAGCGGTCGTAAGAGCTCGAGTTTCCTCGTCTTATATAATCCGTAGCAGAACGGATCGCCTTTTTGCTTGAACGTGTCCCGAGCACCTCGCTTCGAGCGAAGCGAAATGTTTTACGGTCCGGTCGGATCTTTTTGCTATCCTCCTGCTTGCGTGGATTTCGGCGTGGGAGAAAGACAGAGAGACAAAGATGGAAGAAAACCAAGTGAAAGAGAGAAAGATAAACACTCACGCATACACACTGAAAGAGAATGAGAGAGAGAGAGAGAGAGAGAGAGAGAGAACACGCACTATATCGACCGACTTGGTCCCCCATTAAGCTCTTATTAATTGCGAGCATCTGAGGGACCGCTCAGCCTTTCTTGCTCTACCTGGACGCCATTCTGCTCGAAGAAAGCCGACCAACAATCTCGGCTTCCTTTTGCAAACTTTGATCGACCGCTTCAACGAGGATTTTCATATAAATAAGAAGTTGGGGCTACTCTACGACCTGGAATCCCTTATTTCTTACTTGCAAAAAAGTCGAATCGTTTGGTGTAGAAAGGGGGATGATGCAGAAGTGATACACTTTTGTTTTTTTCTCCTCGTCCATCCCACGAACACTTATCATTCTAATTTCGGTCAGATTATTGGAATACCACGGAAGGATTGTAATTTTAATGAAACGTTTTGTATCGGTGCGTAAGTATACCCATTTACCTTGGTATTATATTGAATTTACTTAATGTGTGGGTTTATAAAAAAGAGGGGGTTGATAATACTTACCGGAGAGGGAGGCATAAGGACCATGAGGGTAAGGCGGCGCCGAGGAAACGTCAACGAGCGACTGAGAGGGCGTTGCCGACGTCCAGTCCTTGTAGGATGCCGCGGCGTGCACGTGGTGTGCCGCGTGGTGAGCCGCGTGGTGAGACGTGTGATGTCCTCTCGCACTACCCAAAAGCAACCCGCTGTAACTCGCCGCAGCGGCCATGTTATGCTGATGATACTCGTGCACCGCTCTGGAACCGGGAAGAGATTTCGATTAAGGCCAAGGTAAAGAAGATGGATAGAGGAAGAGAAGATCTGTGTAGCGAGAGTTAAGGTCGTCAGACGGGGGTAGAAGATGGTTTGGGTGGGAAGGGACAGGAGAAGAAGGATGAAAACACAAGAGGAAGGTTCAAAAAAAAAAAAAAAAAAAAAAAAAAANATTCTAATGAAAATCATTGTACTTGTATTGATAATCAACTGACATTGATGATTAACATATTAAAAAAAAAAAAAAAAAGAAAAAAGACAAAATGAGAGAGAGCGAAAAAGAAGAAGAAGAAAAAGAAAGAGGGAAGAATTCTCGATATCGTAGCCTCTTCTCAAGCACGGTGACAGACTAGTAATTTATACGACGGTCCCGCTCAGCATCAGTGCTAAAGATCTTCCCCCTTGGTACCTGCTGCTCCCGACGGTTTTCTGTATTTTTCACGTCCACTTCGTCCTTTGACTCTTTTTTTTATTTTTTTTTTTGTTTTGTTTTCTGTTATTTTTTTCTTCTTTTCCTTTCCTTTATTTTCTTGTATTTTCTTTTTCTTTTTCTACTCATTTAACTCGGCTCGGATATACACCCGAGGTTCTTGCTTTTATGATTCTTTATTTCTTTATCAAGATTAACTTTTGTCGCCACGAGATTTCTGCATTTGGTCCTTGAACCCGTGAACGCATAGTTTTGCAGTAGGTTAAATGAGGATGATCGGGAAGTACATCAAAATGATCAGTTATTTAATGAATTATAGAGCTGACCTATGTTGGTATGGGCCATAATGTGCGTGCCATGGATCCGCTGGATACTCATAGACGTCGCCAGGATGTTGACTATTCCAAAAGGATGGTGGGAAGTTTCTCATCGACATAGGAGAGATATTTTCTGTAACAGAAATCAACAAAAATATTCCTGTCAATATTGTCAACAAATTTGTCGACTTGATAATCACCATAATATCCTGTATTCCCGATCTTGACAATATCCCTAACTGAAAGATCGCGCTGTATTCTGCAGACCTAAATTGTACAGGTTAAAGAGCAAGAGAAAGCGTTTATTAAAATATTTCAGCGTTTTCCCACGAACATTTACGCGATCCTTTGGAAGGTTTTAGGGTTTATAAACGAGTGGTAGTTGGACTCCCACGGGATCGAACCGCGCGACAGAAGGGTACCGCTCGGTTGTTTTACAAGCACCCACTTCGAAGCCAGAAGCTTGTCCCGTGTATTCTCTCGCGGTTCCACCATGGTTTGCTCACGAGATTCCTCTTTTTTATTCTTTTCTTTTTGCCTTCTCTACTCTTTCTTTCTTTCTTTCTTTTTCCTTTCTTTCTTTCTTCCTTCCAATCTCCGGGACCGACCAATCCGAAAGTGTGGTCGAAGGTTGGATCAACAAGATCGATCGCAAGAGACAATTTATTTTTCTGATTCCAAACTCGTGCCATTCCAATTTAACTCACTAGGATCTACCGACATAAGTCATCATCTCTATTTACCATTTATAATCTGATAAAGTTATCGATAAATACGTCGGCATCGTCAATCATCATCAGTGACATGAGCAAGTCAGCGGGATACTGTGTGACTGGCGCTAGTACTTCTGAGAACTAAAAAAGAAGATCTCGTAGTCTTCTAACTTGTTAAAAAGCGTCGAATCATCGTCGTTTAACAATGTGGACATCATGAATTTGATGACCAATCGAAAAGAAATCTTTTGGGTTTGTTAGCGTATCGGTTTCGCCCTGGTAACTCTACTAACACTTTCGCCACATAAAGAAGCCATGGATCGCATTGTTTCCCACGCATGGAATGTCGTCGAAGCATGATCAGAAGGAAAGAGAGAGAGAGAGAGAGAAAGAAAAGGATAAAATATGCTTTTCCAAGTTGTGTCCAACGCAACTGGTCACGGATTGCTTGAGCTAAGGATTTATTATAAAACAAGATAAAAGTTTCTACCGAAGTTGACACGAGTTAAATAGTTTTCTGAGAGTTCCACGAAGCTTCCAATATCGAGTAAATCGAAGATAGATTGCTTTTACATATCCCCACCATGCACTACGAGATCCACCATGGCCATCCCCTTTCCTTCTCCTTCCTTAGATTCACGGCGATCGTCGGTACCCACTGGAGAATGTCCTTTATTTATTAACGCAATTAAAGAAACAGAGTGTCGAGCGTCCGCGCTTGCCTTTCTTCTCTGCCGATGCCGCGGAGGGGACGAGGGATTCCCTCTTTCCCTCTCTATTTCTTTCTCTCTCTCATTCTCAGGACCGATATGCGGATGGAACACGGGCTGCTCTTCGGCCCCTGTCAGAGTCAGATGTGCCAATAAGCGTGGTAAAGCGCGTACAAAGGATAAAAGGATTTCGAATCGGCGTTCCTTTATCGGCAAGGATTCTGCGTGTGAATCTGATTCTTTTTTTATTGTTTCCTTTAGTTCGGGGCACCTTGCATAAGCTAGTAATTGAGAGAATTCCTTCAATGTTCCTACAAAATCATAATGCTCGTTGCTTACAATCCATCTTTACATATATTTATCTGTGAATTGTATTATCTTGATATACAGTAGTATGGAAGATGTTTCTTTCTTTGCATATTTGTAATTTTAACTGATGAGGACCTAGCTCTGATCTCCTCGTTAATATTTGCAAATTGGCTTGATCACCCTACTCAACTTGAATCTAATCAGAATGACAACTGCGAAGAAGCCACTTAGGAAAGAGATGGAAAGGGGGAGGAGAGGATTTTTATAAGTTCATGTAGGAGAATTAACGAGGAGTGATCTGGTTAGAGATGAGATCTGGCGTAGATCCATGAGATAGCTTTTATAAAGACGTTCGGCGAGACGCGATTCGTCAAAACGTAACGGAGAGCAGATTGATGTGCCGCTGCGACTGGACAGCTTGTTATTTCGATTCAGAGTCGGCATGTATATACCGAGAAGAGAAAGAGAGTAAGTAATAGGAGTTGGAGTTGGAATTGGAGGTGGAGAAGAAGACGAAGACGAGGACGACGACGACAACGATGATTTGACTCGGATGTATCCGCCTTAAGCTTTCTCGTCCGTCGCTTTGAAGGCACTTCGTGTCAAGTAATTGCGTTTCTGTTACGCCTCGCGATGGGATACGGGGCGTTAATTTGACGCCAACGACTGGAACGATGCGCTCAATTTCTCGAACTCAGAGCAATATTGCCCTTTCGAATACGCCCATCTCACTCGACCTTTTCCCTTCAAGCACGTAATTCCTCTAACGTCTGTCCATTGCTTTACACTATCTTTTACAATATAAGTATCATTAGTTGAGTTAGTATTCAGATATGTTATACATCTACGTAGTATACCACAGGGATACCAAATTAATTATACTTCTTGATTGTTCGATCAATTGGAAAAAATGCAATTCTACGAAACTGACTTTCTTCAAGATTATCTTCTATTAAAATAAAATATACGATTTCACAGAAAGACTCTGGTAACATGCGATAAGACAATTAACTTTATACGATTTCGATTCCATATCAATAAAATTCTAGATTACTCGTTTATAGTATGTTGAATTTCATGAGAGCATTAGATCGCACATCGCTTAGATATCGAAGAGATTCCTTAGATTTAAGACGAGTCTTGATGTTCGTCGGTAAGTGTACGGGCAAAAGGTTTTATCGTCTTGCCGTATCACTCAGCCGTTCCTGTACTGTAACCCGTATCATTACCTTGCACAGTTAACTTACGTCGTTACCGCTACCGTAGTCGTTCGCTTGTAGGTACCCTTACCGAATAAAAGCTGTACCGAATGCACATCGAGAGAGAAGAACGCCCCAAATTGAAAAAGAGTATAAAAAGATTATGAAAAAAGAAACGAAGGAGGCACGATTAAAAGCGCTTACACCGCGACAAGTTTGTAACGAGCAAATTCTTTACTCCGAAAAAAGATTTACGGCATTCTGTACGATTCACATTAATTAATGAAAATTTATGGAAGATATGAAGGAAAAGCCAGACTTTTGATATGCTTTAAAATTCAAACTTTGTTATCTTTCCCACCAAATAAAAGATCATTCCAAAAATTCTTTGTTAAGATTTGCAAAAACAAAAATGCATATTGATACAATACGTTGTATCAAACATTTGAAAAAAAAATCTGAATAAGACCGAAATATCTCACTTGTTAGAAATCGAAACGTTTAACCAGTTTCTCTTTTAACAGAAAAAAAAGGACGATCGATAAATCGTCGTAGATTCGAGGGGGTCAACGAGAAAAGGATGTGGCCGATCTGTATACGAAATCCCTTCGTCTCTTCTGTTTCCTCGATAAACATGAGAGAAGCTCTCTCCACTGTTCAGGCAGCGTTCAGGCCTTTTACGTACGTTAGCCGGCATACCGTGGCTAAAACTGTCTCCTGCTTTCTCTCCCGTTTGTTCTCTCTCTCTCTTTCTCTTTCTATCTCTATCTATCCGCCTATATCCCTCTCTCTTTCTCTTCTTCTTCTTACCCTCGTGGAGAGCACGAGGTTTGCGTCGTGCATCTTAAGGCCCGCCAGTGGAAGCTCTTAATTTACCTTTGCTACAATCTCGTGGTCGTGGAGAGATGCTGAAAGAGAAAGAGAGATAGAGAAAGAAAGAGTGATAAAGACAGGGAGAGGAGTAGAAAGACAGCAAAGAGAAAGAGAAAGAGAAAAATAGAGAGAGATAGAAAGAAAGAGAGAGAGAGAGAGAGAGAATAAGTTGAGGTACAGAAGCAGAGGTGCGCAAGGCACATAACAATTAGGTCGTGTTGTCTTGAATTCTAAGCAGGCTAGTGAACTGATCCTGAGCACCGAGTGCGGGATAAATGCGGCCTTAAACGACACCGATATAGACGGACCGCTAACGTCGACTGCGCTTGCCAAATCCTCTCTACCCCACCTCCAAACTTCTTCTTATTCTTCTCTTCCTCTTTTTCTTCTTTTTTTTCCTCCTCTTCCGCCTCGACGACAGTCCCGTGATCCCCGTCGCGATGTTCCACGCTCTTCTCCGACTCCGCACCCTCCCCACCCCATCCCATACCCCTACGTCACCAGAAAGCCAGGTTTTAAGTCTTCGAGTACCGACGACAAGGACGGTACGATTGTTACGGGCCTTGTTAGCGTTGTCGCAAGCTAATGGCGTACTTTATTACCAGGGCTTCGCATTTCCTTCCAAAAGACGACGTTGTCTTGGATGCAAGACGAGATTGAACGTTAGCAACCTCTTTTTCATGTATTCCAAAACGCTTTTCTTCGATGCTTCGAGCAAGTACTCGTATTTTTTTTCCTTTTTTATTACTAGTACTGTATCAAATTTTTTGTATAAACATTATATATTATTTTGATGAAGTCTTAATGTAGTATAAAATAATTGATATGTATTTTAAAATGTTAATGTGTTAATAAATTAAAGAAGATTTGTGAACACACCTTTGGGCTTGTCATGAGCCAGTGCCCTTTGGAAATGTTCTTCAACCTCTGATGCGGCATCCCCTCTGTAATTATTGAAGATGACGCAATTTGCACTGACATACTGCGCCCTACTTTCGCCATCGTCCGAATCCTCCGCTGCTGTAGCAGCCCCTACTATAAATCAATTTAATCATAATGTATTTTTAAATAGTGAAATTATTTTTTATTTAAATGACCACTATTATTATGTACAACATACCGTCCGTCGATCTGTCATCGTCGAGGGTTCGCGAAGGTTGCGATGTGGTAGTCGCTAGGGGTGGTCGGGGTTGGGGGGTTGGTCGAGGTGATGCTGGACTCGGTGCTGATCCCACCGAACCCGCGCTACTTGGTTGACCTTGTGGTACACTACCTCCACCACCACAAAGTTCCAAACCCGCTGCTTCCAAAGACCTTTGGTGTACGTTCAACTGTAAAAATAAAGGTGAGTGTGATATTGCAAAATAAGTGCAGCATTGCAAAATAACATTGCACATCGGTTAGGCAATGGATGATATTGTGACTCGTCTTCTTATTCTGTACCTATTATTGAATCAAACAAAGTACTAAACTTGACTACTTGAGACGAGTCCAATAACTATGTCGAAATATTTGTTATTGGCTCGTTATAGAAACCCCGAAAACATTGTAATATATATTAATGCAACGCGTCATACTTTAAGATCCAACATTGTCAATGAGGAGAAAATGAATCATACGTTAATTCCGAGTTCTTGAGATAGTTTTAATCGATTCGTTTAAGAGTCCTCCGATGCCAGAGGACGAATCAAAGAGAGAGAGTGAAGTGAGATCCATTGAGCACATAGCGACGCCGGCCGTCGGTGTTCATCGTTTCTCCCGCCCTTCTTGCATGGACTGCAAATAACGCGAGAGCTATGCTATGCGTACCAGCATCGTCACGGCCGTTGGCAATGAGACCAAATAGGACGTAATGCTCACTATTCATTAGATCCTAGCGATGCAAATGCCACGGCTGGTCATAGCATTCTGTTCGAAATTTTTTTCACGACAATCCTACGCGTAAGCAATTAAGAGTGCGCCAGAGAAAAAGACTTGGTCCAACTATTCGACCGACAACGAATCGTCGAAAGGTCCTTTGGCCATTTCACTCATCGTCGATTAACATAGCGAGTGACGCGATTTTAGAGTGAGTCTCGGTAAGTTAGAAACATAAAAACAAGACTCTGGCGAGGACTAATGGCTAAGTTAAACCGAGGATTCACATGATATTCGTTATATCCTTAGCAAGGGTATCTCGTTCAAGGTGTTTCTCCATTACATCGATCCTGCAGATCGTTTCGAACACGATCGTAATGACCCCAGGAACCGTACTGCTAGTACGTGCCACTTGCATACCTGCACGACGCGCACAACACGATGATAAAAGACGCGCATTTACAGGCGCGTTTCCAACGCACGCATCCCGGGCCCGTATACATTCCCAGTAGCCATTGTTGTTTCCAAGAGCTACCGCCTATAAATCTAAGAAGTCTGTGCGACCGGACGATGGGCTTCTATGATTTATCGATCTTGTCTGATCAACTTAAAACGATATACCAATAAGTAAAATGTACTTATAAGATACCTCGCTCGTATTCTTATCAAATTACACATATCGTATATTGAATATTGTCAATTTGTATTATAATTGTTTCCGTTTAAAATCGTCTCACGTCATATTTCTAAATAAAAGTTTCTTAATGAGACCAGAAGAATGTGTGATCTTCTTTATTTCTCAACCCCATTTATCCGAGCCTTTGTATAAAACAAGCAGCAAGCTTCATCGTTCCTTAAAACGTTATCTTCTTCATCTATGCTAACACAGCTGGATTCTAATAAAACACTCGATCCAAGGAAGACCGTCCATTATCACGTTAAGATCTTAGCCTTCTCGAAAAAAAGTCCCATTCGTTTGATCAACAAATCGCCTATCGGGCCTAGCTATTTACGAATCGGAATAATCCAACTTATGGGAATAGACGTTTCTAAATGGCGATAGAGTTTTTGGAAAAGAAGAAGAAGAAGAAGAAGAAGAAGTAGAAGTAGAAGGTTCCTCTTAAGTAGTAGTCGTCGCGACACTTTGGTTCCCTTCGTTCGTCGCTAGTTGACAGGGAGCCTTTCGGCATATATATCGAGCCAACCACGTACCCCGCCTAACCAATTACATCCATACATCAGTGGCGGGTAGAAGCGCACGGAAATAAGCTGACGGTGATGTATGCTCGTGCAGCACACACGAGGGTTAGCGGGGGTGCAGGAGTGTGCTTCTATTCGAAAGTTCAACGGAAAGGAAGACTAAGACTAAGTAAGACTGAGACTAAGACTAAGACGACTAAGACGACGACGAAGATGGCGAGATGTTATCATTATCTACTCTAATAAAGCTGGACTCTGCATTCCATGTGGTAGTACATCACCGCCACGATTTTCAAAGTGCAAAGAGAGAGAGAGAGAGAAAGGAAAAAAAAGATATAGAGAAAGTTTCGTAAAGAGAACGCCGAGTGACGAGCGCTTTCCTGGCGATTTCACGGAAAGTACACTCGATCACTCGCGTCCTCCAACTCAATGACATCCTCCTCGTCGCTTCCTCATTTTCTCTTTATCCATCGTATTCGTGGAATCCTTCGTAGAAACTGGTCTGATCGAAGGAGTAACAGAGAAAAAGAACGAGTCCAAGTTGAGAAGTTACTGTTAGAAAATATTGCAAATGGATGAAAAGATAAAAAAAACTAACGCTACGAATCGTCTTAAACGATAATGTTACGATAGCAAATTATTATATGTCTAAGAGATGACGAAGTGTCTCACGTGGAGATTCAATATCGTTCGAGCATCCCGATTCAATTACATTGGATTGCATTGGAGCTAAAGAAGAGTCATCATTTACGAGGATAAAAGTATAAAAGAGATAAAATCGAGGATCAGCGAGCCCTCCATAGATTACCACCGGTGGAACATCTAGTGTTGCTTGGACGACAATGTGGTAATTAATCGAAGCAAGCCTGCTTCCAACAACCTCCCGTTTCCCCGTCTCTCTTTTTCTCTCATCCTATCTCTCTTACTCTCTTGTTTCTTCAAGGTGCACTGGCTTCCTTCGAAACGGTCCACGTTCTCCATGGCTAAGGAGAAGGAGGTGCTGGCTCTAGCTGGGAGCAAGAGAGAATCAGAAAGAGGGATAGAGAGAAAGAGAAAGAGAGAAAGAGAGAAGGAGAAAGCTGCTCGCGGCCTTTCAAAGCATTCCAAAGCACGAGCGCCTCTTCCACTCGACCTCAACCCACCCCACTTCCAACCCCACTCGATCCCAGTACCACCACCGTCACCACCACCACCACCACCACCTCCGCCGCCGTCTCCGCGCCTACATCGAATCACTTCGCGAAAGCCAAAGCCCGCGTCTTTATTTCTTTCCCTTTTGTCTTATAGATCTTTGTATCTCTGTATCGGGGTTCAACTCTTCCCGTTCCAGCCCATTAAAATACTTGATGCCTCGGACGAGGATTTGAATTTACGATTGTCCCAAAGTGCAGATTCGATTGCGAAAATCGAATTTGCACTTTCATCAATTACCGTTCAACGAGAGATAACAATAAAAAATAAAAAGAAACAATGATAATGTAAAAAAAAAAACAAAGAAAAGAAATATCTTTGGATTGTAAATTTACGATTTGAGTAAAGCGTAAAAAAAGTAATGTCATCGAATAGAATGAAATTCGGAGAGGATCGGTGTAGATGGTGTAAAAGCGGACAGCTCACATCGATTCGAAAGGAGATCGGCGGCCTCGCGAGATCTTTCCTTCGATTCCCACATCAATTTAAGTCAAACCTGGAAGAGGGAGATCTTCGTCAATCCACTCTTAGTCTCGTTGTCTCTTTCTTTCGTGTCCTCCTTCGTGGAACGGTAGCTCGAAACGGGAGAAAAGGTTTCGAACGACCTAAGGAAGAAAGGACGAACAGAGAAAAGAATAAGAAGAAACAGAAGAAGAAACAGAAGAAGAAGAAGAAGAAGGAAAAGAGGATGATGGTGAAGAGGGTAAGAGAAACGTAGGGAGACGGTAACAAGCTACCATACAGCTACGGGGTATCTCGCAATTTGTTTGCTGGACACGACCATTCGTCGACACGATTCTCCTATCTTCCACGAAGATGAGAGAAGTCCGAAGTCCTCTCGCTCTCGCACTCTCAAAGCCTTGGATTACGACTATCGATAAGGTACCGCTGAACGAGTTCCCTTTAGTTAAGTTTAGTTCATTAGCAAACTCGCCAGGTGGACGATGGAACGATTCCCCCATCCGTTCGACAAATTACAACGAGATCGTCTCCACCCCTTTCGATTCCCGCTACTCCTCTCTACACCAAAGTGCAACTCCTTCTCTTACAACTTTACGATTCTTCAAAGATCTTTTAATATAATCTGTTACCGACTGTATTATTATTTATTTAATTTTATATTTTTTATAATTTTTTTTTTTTTATAGATCTCACATTAATTATTTGCTATTTCCACGAACGCAATTAAACGTTTATTAAATGCTTCGAGAGAAGAAAAATTAAAACACCCATTCAAAGATCGGTATTGACACGTTGGGATAAAATGAAAAAAAAAAGAAAAAACAAAAAAAAAAGAAAAGAAGAAAAAAAAGATGCATGTGTTCTCTTATCGTTGTACTAGACGATAAAAATCATATGAGACATCAAAAATAATTCAGTGAGGAATTTTAGGCTCGCGTAGATTATAGCAGCCGGTTAGATCCTATCGATAGACTCCCAGGTATTTTCTCCTAAAAGTGGAAGCGATTAATGAACCTTCTCGCACCGGTATTAACTACTCCTCTACAAGCGTATAGATATGGGTTTTATTTTATAGGAGCGTTTAAGCGCTAGCGCACGTCAACGGATGACTAAACGGTGCACCGCCCGCCGATAACGATACGCATCGGTAAAAAGAGTAGGAAAAGAGTGAAAAAAGATCAAACAGGTTGGCTTTCGTTTCGTGTAAAACTCAGGCGGCGAGTAGAGAAACAGAAAAAGAGGGAGAGAAAAGGGGGAGGAGAGAAGTTTTGAGTAATGTCGCCGACTTGCTAAATAAATGTATAAACGTATCCGAGGGCACCTTTGGTCAAGATTATCTTCTTGTAACAAAACGTTAGAATACACTTAAAATGATCAACAAGTTAATGAATTATTTAGTCTTTCTTATTGCCACAAAAGTTCACTTTTATCCCTCAGCAATTTATAAACTTTTTACATGTATTCTCCTTTCATCTTAAACCGCTTTTACGTTCATCTCCGTTTGTCACGCACCTATGGTTAAGTCATTCCATTAATATAAAATGTAACTTATTAAAGTTTACAATAAATAGTTTACAAACTATCAAGAATTAGCTACCGATTGTGTTAACAACCTAACTTC